ATTGGTTGCCGCTTAATGAGTGGATTTGCATATTCACAGCAATCGGAATTCAGACTGACTAACTGGAGATGTATTTGACTACCAAGTGTAAGGCTACAATCACACAGCAGGTAAAAGTGACCCAAATCTGATTTTCTCACCAAATCCAATTTATTTGTTCAGCTCCTAAACTGACCTGCATGTGCAAAAGAACAATGCTTCACAAGGCGCGCTCATCCAGAGGTAAACAATCATGACTGCCAACGAACGCCAGTCGCTCCTGGAGGGTTCAGTTTAATCTTCACCAGCATAACAGGAGCCATCATGAAGCTTCACTGACTGACAGCTGGGCTCATCACCCAGAATGTGTTGGAGCTCGCCGTAAAAAGGGTGTGGTCACTTATTTGGTTCCTGTCCTCAGATTCTTTAAACCTTTAACCGTTGTTTGACACCGCAGCTGTTCTCCTACGGCCGCGTTCGGCCATTTCTTTCAAAATCTCTTATGACAAAGGTCATGCTGGACTGACATAAAAGTCACATAAATTAAATTCCGATTTGGTTGCATTGCCGTATATTGGATATGTATCGGATTTCAGTACCACATATGAAAGTGTCCCAAATCAGAAATGAAAATGTCAGATTCAGTTTTTTTGCTGTTCACACTGCACAAAGAAGATTTCACGTATGAAAAAAAGGATTTGGGCCACTTTTACCTGCTGTGTGAACGCAGCCTAAATGCACGTGGCTAAAATCTTATCAGGATACAATCCGGATACTAGTCGCATGAAGTGACCAGGTGTAAACAGGACCTCAAAGTCACAGTCACAGTTTAATTCTAAGGCAGTAAGAGAGGTTAGAACGTGGTCATAAAAAATGAATTATGACCACACAAACGTGATAAGAGGACCTCAAAGGGAAAAAATAAAATACAAGAAAAGTGTAGAATACAGGCCCTTTAAATTAAGCTACTCAATAGCTATTCAGTCATGGTCAGTGAATTTCTGATTTGCACTGGGGGACCTTATTGACCTCCAGCAGTCCGTATTGTGCTGTCACCCTGGCCTTTCACCGGCTTTTTCAATGCTCACAGTGACAAATAGTTTGTCCTGAAATGGAGCGCTCAGCATGACAAGAATAGCACGTTATGTTTACACTTCATACAAGGGGAGAATATTTATTGGCTTTATTAATTCACAGAAATTGATCCGGCGTGATGCTCATGTCTAATACAGTGCCAACTTCATCACTAGCAATAAGTTTACAATCATATTGGCTTTAAAACTGGATCAGGGGACTTAAGCGCTGAATGCATGTGCTGTGCAGCTGCTGCAGTGATGATCCTAATACAAACATAACTGCTTATGAATTAGACGCCTGTGTTCTGATTAATTATTGCCAGCGCTGATGAAAAGACGGCATGTTTTTGACAGTGATAAGCATATGATATCCCCTGTGTGCCTCTCCATGAGAAGCTACACGAATACAGCTTATATTTAAAGGACACCTTCACCAATTCTTTTAATTTTCCCAAATGGATCCAGTATTTCTGGAAAAAAAGCATTCTTCTGTACTGAATTATGCACGGAATCCCACTGATTTATGAACATTTCTGTATCAAAAACAGGTTGAGATGTAAACAAAGTCATTCAGGGTGGCTTGATGTGTTTCGTTTTAAAGAGACTTCACTACAGTGGTGATAGGAACCAGACGTCTGAAATCACCACCACTGTAAACACATCTTTGTTGGTTTCTCTATGATGAACCATTTCACATCAAACCACTCGGAATGACTTTCTGAATGTCTTAGCCATTGAATTATGCAGAAATAATGCAGAAATAATCAGTGGAGTTACTCTTTAAGCATTTATATTTTCCTATATGTGATAAGAAACTGAATGTGGTTTGATGGACAGTATGGACAATGTTTTTTTTCTTGTATTGGCTCTGTACTCCAGCACACTGGACAGAAACGCAGCAAAGACTTTGAGCTTAAAGAGTTCGAATGGCAGATTTAATTTGAGGGTATTTACATCTATATTGAGTGAACCATAATAAAAAAGGACTGTAATTCCTGCACCCGATATGGACACACATACCCCCGAATTAAAACTGACAAGTCTACACTCTAATCTTATAATCGTTGTTTCATTTCAAATCCAGTGCGCTAAATATACTCATGCATACTCATGTATGTTGCTGTCCGATTATTTACGTACTGCACTGCATGCGTGCTGTAGAGACGACAGTGAGATTAGTCAGACATGGCGCTGTGGAATGACACTGCAGTCATGACTTGATTAAAGAACACCAACCGCATTCAGTGCACTGTACTTACAGAAATTGCTCTGAAGGTCTGAGATTAAAGAGAGATCACTGCTAGGGCGAAGCCATCTATGAGTATGAGCTCATTAGAGACAGAACTTATTCTCCACCTTCAAAACTCTCCAGAGGGTCCAACAGAACAGGAGTCATGTGGTCTTTAAGAGTCTGAAGCTGTGCCATTTGGGTGATGTGGTGAACCCAAATTTTGCCTGCAATGTTAACATTTTAGAATCAGCCATTTCAAAACCTCAGATTGTAACAGTAACGTTATAGGAAAAGGATGGATGTTCTTAACTATTAATGTAAGTTCCCAGACAGCAAGCATACATCGGTCTGCTGGCTTAATAAGTTCGGCACCCCACTGACTGGTTCACTCTTGGACCACCCAGATTACTGTCCTGCACACTAGTTTTTAATCTCCTCAAACAGATTGTAAATGCACATAGCCTCTTATTTTAGAAAATAAACTAAGATAAATATTACAAACACCTGAGAGAGAAAAAATAATGACTAGGCCTAGCATAAAATGATTTTATAGAAAATGCTGTTGCTGACCCTGAGCTAGATTAATATTACTAAACTGATTTACAAAGTATAACTAAAGAAAGCAGAGAAGGAAAAATCAGTCATTTGGACTGTGAGTGGAAAATGAGCGACGATAAGTGGAACTTTGTCTAATACTCTGTTTAATCACCGGTGGCCGCCCAGAAAATGCTGAGCAATGGGCCAGTGGGCCGCCAGCTTTGCCATCAGTGGACCAAAAGTGGACCACTGTCCTTTTGCTATCAGGGTTTATATAATGATATTTTATTTCTGAGCAATTCTGATCGATTTCTTTGGTTCACACAGTGTAAAAAAGGAGAAACAAAGAGCTAAAAAAAGGAGTTTGACATGACATTATGAAACTACTCTATAAGCTAAGCTAATGTTAACCTTACATTTCCTTTGGCTAACTGCTTCCACACCAGACATTCATTCCTATTTCAAAAACCTGCTGTTAAGAATATAATAGAATCAAATTTATGCAATTTACCCCCAAATATCCATCAGCCGAGAAGTGTTTGGTGTCTGAAGTTTGCTTCTTTAGCTTTGCACTGCAGCTACGAGGCTAATGTAGCTAACAAAGTTCACAAATATCAATTAGCGCCATGCTAATTGCATGTCTAACTCATCATCACACCCTTCGCCTCAAACCATGCTGAAGTAGTCAGACTTGTTTATGTGGTATCTGTCACTGTATGACATACTGTCGTCTATAAAATGGGCAAAAATATGTAGCATGGCTAAAAACAAGAGGACAGTTAATGTGAGCTACAGATCAGTGGTATGAACACCATAACATTATGACCACCTCCTTGTTTCTACGCTCATTGTCCATTTTAACAGCTCCACTGACCATATAGGAGCACTTTGTAGTTCTACAATTACAGACTGTAGTCCATCTGTTTCTCTGCATACTTTCTTAGCCCCCTTTTACCCTGTTCTTCAGTGGTCGGGACCCCCACAGAGGGTGGTGGGTCATTCTCAGCACTGCAGTAACACTGACGTGGTGGTGGTGGGTTAGTGTGTGTTGCGCTGGTACGAGTGGATCAGAAACAGCAGTGCTGCTGGAGTTTTTAAACACCTCAGTGTCACCGCTGGACTGAATAGTCCACCAACCAAACATATTCAGCCAACAGCGTCCTGTGACCACTGATAAAGGACTAGAGGATGACCAACACAAACTGTAAAGCCGCAGATGAGCTATCGTCTCTGGCTTTACATCTACAAGGTGAACCAGCAAGGTGTTTGTGTCTGATTGTGGACACAGTGTTTCAGAAAGCAAGATTTCTCAGTTTAGCCAGATAACTTGAGTCAAGCCTGTCCAACAGGAAAAGGGCTGAGGGGCATACCCATTGGATAGTCCTCATCTTTGAGCTTAAGTTATCTGGCTAGCTGAGAAATTCTGCTTTGTGAAATACCTGCTGCTCTTGAAGATCTAAAACTCCACATGATTTAGTCTCAATCCAAAATGAACATACCTGATCCAGCAGGGTCTTGTGTCCAGCAAAAACAGTCAGCATGGACGAACATATATGGTTGATACTGTACAACTGGACTTTGAAATAAACACCTTAGAATTTCCCAGATTCTGCTTCAATGGCACAGAGAGTCATGTGATAGCAGTCAACTGAAAATGCATGCTAGCCACCATCCAGTGTTGGCCATCCATCCAGACAGTAAGCCTGAGGAAGTCATTAAGTCTCTATCTGTAGCTTTATCTCACTGTTTATCTCAGAAATCCTACACTGTACACTAGCAAATATATTCCTGATTAACTGTTAGAATTTCCAATTTTCCTTCCATTTTGTCCAGGGAAAATACAATCATCTATATTGAGGCCTAAGAAATGGACGAAATGGATTATTACCAAAAATAAACTTGACTAGATTTTTTTAAATAACTTGTTTATTACTGAATATGTTACAATTCAGCCTCTCTTCACCTCTTCACAAGGCGCTCACACAACACACACAAAAAATTCTGAGCTTATTAAATATATACATCTTCTTTCACTATCTTACCATATTTACAAGTCACCCCTTCATACCGAGTGTCCAGTCAGTGGTTTTTTTTTGAGCATTTTTGTGTCCGTTAACTATGAAAATATAAAAAATAAAGCTGCCTCTTCTTTCTTGTTATTAGTTATAAAACCAGTCCTGTAGGTTTGAGGTGCCCAGCGTTAGGAAGCCGCGTGCGATTTCCTGTTGCGCTTGGCTCGCCGTATTGGAGGAAAGCTGACGAACTCGAAGTGTTTGGGCTGGTCCGAGTTGGGGAAGGGAAGCGGCCCTTTGTGCAGCCGCTTGATGAAGTGGACCTCTCTCTGGTTCTGCTTCGTTTTGGAGGCCTTGACTGGCCTTCCTTTCCTGGTGAAAGCCACATACCAGCCCTCATATTTGGCATTCTGGAAAGCTGTGTAGTTGTTCTCCAGGACAATCTCTGTAAAGATACAGTCCCTGCCCTTTCCGCTGACCTGTGGGAAAACATCGTTGGGTGTTATAGTACCATTACATTCATCTCAAATGGACATTCTGATGATTAAGGGCAGTGGTACCACTGTTTCATGACACTATGGTATCTCCCAACACCACACTGTTAAGCGTTCTTTGGAGGAATGTCGTTGAACCTCTTTTGATTCTTTAAAGAACATTTTAATGGTAAAGGAGATGTGTGAAGAACTTCTAAAGAACCTTCACATAATGTTCACTTCTATTCCAATTTTTTTTTCCTAGAACCATGCATCCAAGCCAGGAACCACCTAGGAACCTTTTATTTTCATGAATGTAGTGGTTTATTCCCTGTTAGTCACACTGGTGGAAAGGTTGCGAGGCACTTTTTTTCTTGGGGGTTCACACTGCATTTTTTGAATGCTGCTTCTGGATGGGCGTCTCTGTTGCTAAGCAACAACACCTTTGTATTTGTCAGTTTAACTATAACTATTCACTTACAGACATGGTGCTGCTAGCAAAAACAAGCTAATATATGAAAAAAGCTCATTTATATTTATGCCATAAATCTAAAATGTCATTTAAATCTGACAAAGAGTGCAACCACTACCAACCCCCCCCCCCATTACAACTGTCACTGAAGGTCTGTCTTCCCTTTGATCTGATTAGTCAGCACAGAAAAACTCATAATTTAGGCTATTTGATTGCATAGAAGGACAAAAGACTGGGCTGACCATGCAGGCCATTTATAGCACGCAGGGCGGCCAGTGCACAAAAAACATCTTTCCCATTGAGAACAACTGTAAATAAGCTTGTTGGTGTGCAGAACATGTGCATGTGAACCTCTCTAGGAATGTGGAAAAAGAAGTTAAATGTAATTCATGAATATAATTCTCAATCATGAAGACAAATCAAACAGCTCCTGCCCTGTAAGGCCAGTTCCTAACGCTGACAGCAGATGTCAAAGTTTCCTAACAGAGGCTTCTAAATCTTCTCAACAGACTGAAAGAACAGATTCTTCTTCTGTAACCAATTTGGACGAGGCATTCAGTAAAACTCGAGAACCCTGGGCAAGGCTCTAAAGCGCTAATAATGTTCTAATACAATAATATAATACTACTATTACTACAGTGTTTAGGGGTTAAAAGCCAAGAATTATTACACACTCTTAAAAATAAAAGTGTCAAAATGCCATAGAAAAAACACTTTTGCTTCAGTGGATGAACTTGTTTTTGTAAAAGAGAGGAGTGTGAAGAACCTTTTTAACGTTTCAAGAACCTCACATAGTGTAAAGGTTCGAGAAATGTGCACAGAAATGCGTATAGAACCTTTACATTATGTAAACATTCATTAAACATTTTGGAGGTTCCTCACACTCACCCAGGTCTTTTTCAAACAGGGTTTGGAAGGAACCAAAAGTGGTTCTTCTATAGCGAAAGAACCCTTTGTGGCACCTTTTTTTAGAGAACGTAATTGTAATTAGTTTACTGTTTCATTAAAATCACACTAAAGGTGGGCCATGGAACAAACATACACTCTTAAAAAAAAAATGGTTCTTCAAGGGTCCTTTAGTACAGAAAATGGTTCTATAAAGAACCCTTTGCATGATTAACGGGTTCTTTGCATCATGAAAGTGTTCTTCAGATTGATGGAGAATGTGCTGTAGATGGTTCTATCTAGAACCTTTGTAAAAGGGGTTCTTCTATTGTTACGACCTTATTGAAGAACGCTTATTGGTGCTATATGGAACCCTTTTCAAAAAGGTTCTGTATAGAACCATTTACAGCACATTCTGAAGAACCTTTCATGGTTTAAAGAACCCTTTAATCGTGCAAAGGGTTTTTTGAGTGTTCATGGTTGTTTATAGAACCATTTTTTTTGCTAAAGAACCTTTAAAGAACCATCCTTTTTAAGACTGTATAACATCACAATATTTAATTTTTCTGAGGTTTGATAAGTTGGAACAGAGAAAAACAACCAGAAGTGCCACATTAGAAAAATGTATCATAAACAATAATTACAGTGATTTTATTTTCACGTTTCACATTCTGGACTGCACTAAATCTAATGAACCAGGTCTAATTATGCTGATTTTTAATGGAACAAGTCCTGATGATGTCCACAATGTGCTTAGGATCACAATTAATCACAATAACGACAAATATCATAAAATCTGATAATGCATTAACAGAGAATTTCACCTTTTTTTTTTTTTTAAATACAATATCTGCATAATTAAACAGCTGAGATGCAAACAGTCATTCAGTACAGTTTGATGTGAAAAGCTCAGCTGTAGAGAAACTTGCCAAGTCAGAAATGTTCACAGTGGCAGTGATAGGAACCAGACGTCTACTGGCTCTAAATGCTCCTTCACAGAAAGTGATTACATGAAATGGATATGAATAAACTGCCTGATGCTTAAGACACTGATTTACAGTCATTCTGAGAAGGTTTTGGCCTAAAATGTCACCAAAAAACTTTTTTATCATTATCAATATTACGTTAAAAATAAAAAGAATTCCATTGGCTGTTTTGGACAGTAAATAAAATGGCTATATTTATGTTGCAGACATTGTGACCCCTGGTTCCTATCAACACCACTGTAAAGAAATCTTAGTCAGTTTCTCTACAGTGAACGAATTCACATCAAACCACTCTGAATGTCTCAGCCATTGAATTATGCAGAAATTTAGCAGAAATAAATGAAGGGTGGTGTGAAATTCCTCTCTAAGCATTTGAATATTCACTAATAATATGTTTGTGCCCTGTTAAGATGCCAGCAGGAAATACAGCTTGTATTGCCAACTAATTCCTAGTTGACTGTACCAAGCTCTCCCTGTTCTTTCCTCATGGCCAGTCCATAGTGCTGAAGACATCTTTTCCACTTCCCTGAAGGAAGTAGCAGCATGACATCTGACCAGCACAGATGGGTGTGAAGGGAACTCTGGCAGCCGTATACGAGTCCAACATGCACATATACAAGCACTGTGCTACTGAAACTAGCTGTGCCAACCATTATCCTTGCCACTCTGCACACAGAACACTCACTACATTACGAAGTCTAGGTTTCTGTCTGTGTTAACAGCTGTAGTAAGTGAACTAGAACTAGTGAGAGACTCTGTCACATACCTTGCCCACCAGTTTCCCCCTGCGGTTCATACACAGATATCGGCCGCTCTCGGCTCCTTTGATCCGAACTCGACTGCCAAACGTGTCTGTCTCCACATACAGCCTGGCTGCAACACAGCAAATCATCCACAGCGTTAGACTCAAGCAGGTTCTGCGAATTCACAGGCATTCAGGAATAGCAAGAATGACTGAAATCTTGCATGCATTCTTAATAAAAGGACTCAAAAAGGATTCTTTGAATGACACCACAGAAGAATCCCTTCTGGTTCCCTAAAAAAAGCATGTCTGAAAAAGAGATTTGTGAGTATGAGCTTCATATAATATGAAGGTTCTATGCCAATTTAAGGGTTCTTTCTACAACGTTACATTATGATTACTTTGACAGGATCCTCCCATCTGTACATTTCATTTACAAAAATGGTTCTCTGGAGAAAACAACTACTAGCAAAGAATAAAAAGCTTCACTCTTAAGTGTGAAGGATCCAAAGTGTTTTTCGCTTTGGATGTACAGTTCTAGGAAAAAGGTTTAATTGGTATTGAACCTTAACATAACGTTGATGTTCTTTAGACACACTCACATATCACATTTGTAAAAGTGCATAGTGAACCATTGACAGGTTTTTAGTGGACTGAAAGTGGTTCTTGGCATCACAGAAAGACGCTTGAAGCCTAAATATATATATATATATATATATATATATATATATGTATTATATATGTATATACATATAACGTTGTATCTCCATTTTTGTCTTATTTCAGTTTTTGTCATAATTTGAAAATGCCTGTGGCTCTTTACGTTGTGTGTAAATTTCATGGAGGATGGACCAAAATAAATGAGCCAAAATTACTTGGAAAAAATTCTGGTTCCATTGACTTACATTAAAAGTAAAGTAATATATATATATATATATATATATATATTATATATATTAAATATACATTAAAAGTAAAGTAATATATATATATATATATATACACACACACATTTACACACAATGCAAAGAGCAACAGGCATCAAATTACATCAAACACTGAAAAAAACGACAAAATGGAGATACGAGGTTTTGTTCCAACATGCTAGGCTGAGCTCACTCGTTCAGTAATACCTCATTCACAATCCACATTGTTGAAGCTGTGATTAGTACATGATTTGATAAATCTACTGGATAACAAATGGATTACATACATCTGTTCCTGCTACTTATGAGTGCAGTCTAAGACTTTTCTCAGTCATAGTCAGCTGGGCCACTTCTTTGGTTTTGATATCTAAAGTAAATTAACACATCTCAAAGTGCGAAAGGAGAGCAATTAGAGAACTTCTTTTGAAGCAGCAGCAAACTCTCTGTGTGTCCTGCCTTTACAAACAGCCCAATCAATCAGACATTTCAAAGTGTCCTTATCTCACCCGAAACCTAATGTAACTTAATGTCCAGTTAAAATCATTGTTCCTCAATCCTGCTCCTGTAGTTTCCTCTGCACTACACACTGTTTTATCTCCTCTAACAGACCTGTTTTAGTCTCATTTAACTGATTCATCTAGTTGTTATTGTTCTATGGCGAGACTACTTCAAAGGAATTACTAGAGACGGACGATGGCATCGGAATCATCTCGGTATCGGCAGACGATCAAACTGACGTCTTTATTGTACTCAGGATGTTTAGGTGATCCTGAACTTCTGTGTTAAAATATCTACATTTTACTAATTCTACTGCAACTGGATCTCTACACATTAACGGTACATTTCTCCATGATGCCAATCCGGTCCCAACTGCTACAACTCTCATATAAGCGCATCACTAATAATACAATTATTTACACAAAATCTCGATTTACTTTCTGCAGACTTCCATTAACAGGTTTGCGTGTATTAGCAAAAATATAAAGATTGTTTTTCTTTCCTGTATCTTTTTAATATTTAAAATCATAAGTGAATATCTCTTCTTCTACTAACACAAATGTGGATGAAAAGTTTAGAATCTGCACTGTCGAGAGAATTTAACCGCTTGTGTCAAAGAGATACGAGTGAAAAATCACGAATGTAATTCAATTACAACATAAGGGTAAAGGAGCTTAGTCGAATCAGGCGTTAGAACAGGTAACAGGCCAAAACAGTTGGGTTAAACCTTCTTTCCTAGATTTTGTCTGATCTGCTAGCCATCCAGATCCACATGCCACTCAGCTCTGCCTTTAAACACGCTTAAAAAGATGGTTCTATATAGAACCATTCCACGCTTAGAGAAATGGCCATTCAGATAGATGGTAAATGTGTGGAATATGGTTCTATATAAAACCTTCTGAAAATACATAGATACATAGAACCATACATAGAACTATACACGCCTCAGAAGATGGTTCTTCAAGGGTTCTTTAGTAAACAAAATGGTTCTATATGGCACTATGAGCCCCTTAAAGAACGCTTTGCATGATTAAAGGATTCTTTGCATTGTTAAATGGTTCTTCAGCTTGATGGAGAATGTATTTTATATATTTTTTTATATGGTTCTATTTAGAACCCTTTTCAGAAACGTTCTATATAGGACCATCAATCTGAAGAACCATTTAACAAACTCGTTAATCATGCAAGGGGTTCTTTGAGTGTCCATGGTTCTAAACAGAACCATTTTCTTTACCAAAGAACCCTTAAAGAACGTATACAAGAGTGTATACAAGAACCACGTAAGCATGAAATGGTTCTATAAAGAACCCATAGCTCTAAGCAGAACTGAAGAACCCTTAAAGAACCATCTTTTTAAAGAGTGTATACAAGAACCACGTAAACATGAGATGGTTCTATAAAGAACCTATGGCTCTAAGCAGAACTGAAGAACCCTTAAAGACCCATCTTTTTAAAGAGTGTATACAAGAACCACGTAAACATGAAATGGTTCTATAAAGAACCTATGGCTCTAAGCAGAACTGAAGAACCCTTAAAGAACCATCTTTTTAAAGAGCACAAACACATTCTCCATCAATGTGAAGAACCATTTCACCATGAAAAGAACCATGTAAGCATGAAATGGTTCTATACAGAACCCATGGGTCTAAGCAGAACTGAAGTACGCTTAAAGAACCATCTTTTTGAAGAGTGTATACAGCACATTCTCCATCAGTGTGAAGAACTATGTATATGAAATGGTTCTATGTAGAACCCATGGGTCTACACAGAACTAGAGAACCATCTTTTTAAGCGTGTATGTAATGAAGCCATGAGTTACAGATCAGGCAGGAAGGGGTCAAATCTGCTGCCCACCGTAAGCGCTGCCGTCCTCGGCCGTGGCGGTCACTCTCTTCCCCTGGATCTGGACGTGTCGTCCGCTGGTGCGGCTGTAGAGCTGGTAGACCCGGAGCTGGCGCCGGCTGAGCCCGTCCGACTGCGCCCCCTGCTGCCTCACATGCTGCTTAAAATTAGGAGAAGGGGGATTCTCCCCCTTTTTAATGTAAAGGAAGAAATAAGATCACACGTTGCTCTCTGCCTCTACGTCTGGACACAGCCGCAGTGACTCTGACTGGCAGTAAATGAAAACAGAAGCCTACACAAATAACTCGTACTGCTCGGTGCTACTCGCGCTGCCCCCCAAAGCCTCTTAAACCAGCCCAAAAAGTTCCTAAACTCTTCACATGAGCCTCGACTCGCTACACACAACAGACTGAAGCAGATTTGAACGTTTACCTGTGCGTGACACCACACCACGAAGAAGTGAAACGATCTGAAAGAAGCAGACAGAGACGATTTAGCACCACTACCCACCAAACATCCCCACGAGAGACACAACAGAGCTCAAAAACAGGCGCACTTACATGTAAAAGCAGCGCCGGTTTATCCCATACATTGTCCTGAAAGTGCGCAGTGACAGTGCTCGCTCTTCTAGGGTCGCAGTGGAAACTCCTCAGCGCTTAAACCACCATCCATTAATAACTAATCGCAAAGGTTCTGTGCGGCAAGTGTCCTCAGGCCCACGGAGCTGGGAGAATAAGTCCAGTTTGGGAGCCCAAATCGTAAATGAACGCATCCAGACGCAGCCCGGCGAGTTGGGAAGGTCCCATCGTGTGGCGGAGTGTCAGCGCCTCTGGTTTATTAGTGTTGCTTGGCTATCAGTGGGATGTGCTCGCAGCGCTCTTGTCCCACTCATTTTTTGTTTCCCCACCCGTATTCCGGAAGCCACGCCTCCTACGCTAGGATTGGCTAGGAAGCGGCTTGCTAGCCAATCATAGCGCTGGGAACGGGGTTCTAGTAACTAATGCTCGGTATATTAGAAGCCAATCCCAACGCAGGCGATCCTGTTATCCAAATGTTGGTTAGCACTCTAACACAGGAGGCGGGACTTGCCGGAATACGGGTGTGAAAACAAATAATGTGCTCCATAGCTGAGCCAAAAATGATGGATGTCCAGATCCCTCCCCTTTTCTTGCTTAGACCGTGGTGCTTTACCTTGCTCTCTTCTGTCATGACTGGTGGGCTTGAGGTTTTAATAAGAGATTTCCAACTTATTTTGTTATGTGACCATACAACGGTCAGTCCATAGATTGCTTTGCACACTTTGTCAGATGACCACCACAGAGCAGGTATTATTTGGGTGGTGGTCATCTAACAAAGTGAGCAATCTATGGACAGTTTGTTAGATGACCACCACCCAAATAATACATGCTCTGTGGTGGTCATCTAACAAAGTGTGCAAAGCAATCTATGGACCACCACAGAGCAGGTATTATTTGGGTGGTGGATCATTCTCAGCGCTGCAGTGATGCTGACGTGGTGGTGGTGGTGATAGTGTGTGTTGCGCCAATAAGGTAGGAGTGTCTAATAGAGTGGACAGTGAGTGGCCACAGTGTTTAAAAACTCCAGCAGCACTGCTGTGTTCGATCCACTCGTACCAGCACAACACACACTGACACACCACCACCATGTCAGTATCTAAGAATGACCCACCACCTAAATAATAACTGCTCTGCGGTGGTCCTGACCATTGGAAAACAGGATTTCTGGGGTTAACAAGGTCAGCAGAGAAACAGATAGACCACAGTCTGTAATTGTAGAGCTACAAAGTGCACCTATATGGTCAGTGGAGCTGATAAATTGGACAGTAAGTGTAGAAACAAGGCTGTTATGGCTGATCGGTGTGTGTGACAGCTCTCCACGTGGCCTACACGAGAAGCCAAACTACTTGCAGCCTGCATACTTCTGCGGTGGTCTCAATCGAGTCGAGAAGGACGAGGTAGACATCAGACATCAGCGAGATGGTTTATTTGCGTGAGAGTGACGCAGGCCGAGATTAAGGTGTGGCCCCCCTGTTGCCATTGTGACCCGCGGTTTCACCCTAAACCTAATTTCTGACGGATGATTAAAGTTAATCTCCCCCAAATCAGCTGTGATGTATTCATCATGGTCGACTGTGTTTGAGGCTTTGAGGTGTTCTTGGGGAAAAGGGACGTTTGCTAGAGGCCTAAGCTGAACGCTTGCATTTCAATGTTGGTCTGTCACACCTTTTGCTAACGTGGCAGGCCCCTAATAAGAAAACAATGGGGCCTTTTAATCAGAGGAGTTCCAGCGGGCTTTTGTTAGTTTATGCAGAATCAACATCAAGCGCTCGCAACACATCGCTAACAGGATGCTCACTTTCCCGTGCATGTTTAGTGGAGGCCTCCCAGCAATTAGTGTTATCTTGCAAGTTTTATGGCAGTGGGACCACCACTTGGCTCTCTTTGAATGATCTGGAGTGGTCATTTGATCCCATTCTGCTAAAATTAGCTTATTTTTGCAGCTTAAATATAGAGGGACCATATCATGAAAAAAACAAACTTTCCCTGCTGATTTGTTGTAAAAGAAATATGTAGTATATGTAAAAATATGTAAATATGTAAACATTGATTCCATATATAGAAACTGCAAAAGAGTCCTTTTCATATTATTAGTTTTTGTGATGTCATATAAAACTACAACAAATTTACATATACCCACCGATTCATTCATGCTGAAGTTATAAGGGGTGTTTCAGCCTGGAGTGCTTTTTAAATGCGTCACAATGCAGGGCAGCCAATCACAACAGGGCTCATTTACATATATCAGTCTTAAAGGCACATTAATAAAGCCTGGTTATTTCTAATGGATAAATGATGGCTGGAAGATGGTCATGTAAAAATTCATCATAACTGTTTTTGGCACACTCTTAAAAAAGATGGTTCTTCAAGGGTTCTATATAGAACCATGAACACTGAAAAAAACCCACTGCATCATTAAAGGCTTCTTTGCATTATGAAAGTGTTCTTCAGATTGATGGAGAATGTGCAGTAGTTGGCTCTGTACAGAACTTCTTTAAAAAGGGTTCTATATAGCACCCCAAAGGGTTCTTCTAATGTGACGATGTCAAGCTTGTACCAGTTGAAGAACCCTTTTGGCTGCTACTTTGAAACATATACAGCACATAAGACATCAGTCTGAAGAACGCTTTCATGATGCAAAGAACCCCTTAATCATGCAAAGTGTTTTTTGAGTGTTCATGGTTCTATATACAACCATTTTGTTTACTAAAGAACCCTCAAAGAACCATCTTTGAGATGAGTGAACTAAAAAAATCATGTGTGGACTTAATAAGTAAATAAATAAATAAATAAATGGGGCCAGAACAGGGAAACAGCCTGAAGACGTTGAGAGGAGTATGAATCCTTTATGATGTTACAGAAATTGACAATTGATATTTGTAAGCAGATCATTCCAAAAAATCTAAATGTGTGTATTAATGATAAAACAGACCATTCATTTGGTGTATTATGATGGCCAGTTTATCAGCTGCTTGGTCCTTTTAGCAGATTTCCTCTTGGCATGGTTGTTAACAGGTCATCTCAGCTGGGACAGTGATAGACGAATGGCATTGGCGTTTATTGCAACGTGTTCTCCACCCATCAGTTTGTATTTTGCTGAGGACAGACTGATGCCTGCTCAGCCCCCCTGAGACTGACGTGGTTCGGGTGTGAATCCTCAGATGCGATAAAGACGTGTGAGACAGGTCGTGTTGCGAATGCACCCAGTTTGAGAAAATAATAAGAGCTTGGATTTTATTTTCATTTTATTAAATCATGAAGAGGTTCCCCCGTTTATTTCCCTGCTTTCCTTATGTATTTTTTTTTAATGTTTGTTTTTCAAAAGTACAATCAGTGACCCGGTCTTAACACTGTGGTCCTGACAAAACAGTTTCCTGTTGCCACAAAAGCCCACCATAGTTATGCAAATTGCACACTTTTCAAGAATCAGTCCCCCGCCCCAATCCGAGGACAAGCTCAGACTCAGCCAATCCTCACAGATGTTCATTACAGCATATGCTGACCGGTCCCTGTGTGACAAGTACTGGCCTTTTAAGCAGCCACACCCTGCTAGACACACAGAGAGAGGACAATGTGAGACAATTAACTCTAGCCAGTGTGCCAAGCTGAGGATCTGGCATCACTTTGTGTACTGAGGGACGAAGAGATTCAGCTTTATTGCTCTCCCCATCAGTCTAGAGTCCTCTAAGACCCAGCAGGACGTCAAGGGTGGAGGCCATGTACTTTGGGGAACGGTTGCTCACAGGAGTGCACAGTGTATCAACAGTCAGAAGATAAATGGAAATTTTGATGAATATTTTAGGTCCGATATCAAAGTTGAGGAAGATCATTACCAGCAATAATTTAACCCTCTCTTTTACTCAAACATGGGCCGAATCCCATTTCTTAATTTCACCTTGTTTTTGAGTGTCACCTTGGAACAAGGGGTAGTGGTTGAAATCTTCCCCCTATGAAACGGGACCCTCAAATAAAAAGAGCATTACTTCATTATCAGCTACTAGCGGTGCTCTGTAGGCGACCCTGCCAGTCTGCAGTGACAGCAGAGGAAGGTAAAGTTCAGCTCCTCACTGCTGGGCTTTAGTTACATTTAGGGAATCATATGCCTGCAAAAAGGGAGGGGGCAATTATTTATTATCACCCACCCGTAATTCTTCAGTGATCGAAGCTGAAGCCAAATATTCGCCAGATTCTTGTTTGAATTTTCCTGTTCCACCAATAAGGTGTTAATTATTGGTTATTGTTACCGTCCCAGAAATTCTATATCAGGGCCTCTTAATGGCACAACCACCTAAGCTCTGGCACCGTCATTAGGAAACCGCAAGCATGATCCATAGTGACGCCACAGCCAGCCCTGGCCTCAGCGGATTTACTGTAAAATCAGATGCTAACTAATAACAATGGCTAGCACAAGCCGTATAAATTATATAAATGTATAAATGCTTTATTTTCTACATATTTTAGTAGGATAAGAAGATTTTCCTTCTCATGTTTCAGGCGTGATTGGCTGTTTGTCATAAACGTCACACTTGCATGTGTATCATTCACCGAGTATCCATAAATTTTCAATCCTTAAATTTAAATTTTACAGGATTCAGACATGATTAATTAGTTGCTTTTTTAGTATTTTTTGAAAAAGTGAGTTAAGCTATCAAAATATCTAGAGGTTTTACCTACAGAGCCTCCGATAAACAGGCGCTACAGAAGAACATTTCGACAAGGTAGCAACACCTGTCTTACTTTCGTGTAGCTCAATGACGTCAAATTGATAAGCAGCATCATTTGTTTGCTTGTAGCAATTTTGGTATTACAAATCTTTAATGATCTCGTAATTCAGAGGATCAATGAATATACAGGAGAAAAATGTACACAGGACAAAACGTATCGAGTTCTGAACATTTTTATTCATCACAGGGTGCGATAGAGGCAATTTTTCAAAAACCCCATTCATTTTTGCCATAGGGAAATCGAGCGTAGACCTGGAGTTCCTAATATGGGAATAAATAGGACTACAGAATGACACACGACTACAGCAATCTGTTAGAGGCTTGCTGTCTGATGGGGTTTGAGTCAGGCTTGGGTTTGGTTTCTTTCTTCTTCTGTCTTTCGCTCTCTTTCTTGTTGAGTTTGCCTGAAGTGTGTTGCTGCAGTAGCAGCAGTAGCGGGAGGAACTTTAGCGCAGTAGGGCTCACAGTTGATCAGAGGAGGGCGGATGATGTTTTCTGCCAAGTATGATTAGAAATTCCATAAAAAATCTACTGA